GGGGGGGGCACAACAGAGCTTAGGATGGAGGGAGTTTGCTGGCTACTTTTGAGAGCAGGGCTGGGCTAGATCGGGGTGAGCCTGCCTTAGCCCCACTACACCCCCTGTGGTAAGCAGTGTCCAGCTGGAGCCTGCATCCTGAACCTTTACCCCAGACATAAACCCCCTCCTGCAGCCCAAGCCCCTGCCCCAGGCTCATAGCCCCTCACACTCAAAATCTCTTAACCCAAGACTGGAAACTGCACCTCAATCCTCTGACCCTGCCTGATGAAAGGGAAGGATGGGGGAGGGAGGGAGGATGGAGTGGGCAGGGGTGGGGACTCAGAGAAGGGACACACAGGAAGTGGGACAAGGGTATTTGGGTTTGAGGTAGATCCTGGACTGCGCTTAAATTCAAAAAAGTGATCTAGTGCTTAAAAAGGTTGGAGACCACGGGGCTAGATGATCACAGTGGTCCTTCCTGGCTCTGGAATCCAGGCAGAGTAGAAATGTGGTGGCATGGAAGACACAGCCTCACCCCAGCCCAGGAGAGAATCTGCTGGCCTCCAGCTTCCGAAACCCTCACCTGCCAGACTTCTGCTTCCGGGCAGCTTGTTCGATGGGCAGCAGCTAAAAGTCATGGGAGAGTTAAGAGATACTGGCATCATATGGCAACTCTCTGCCACCCCCATCTATGCCCCTGTAAAACCCACTAACTCTGGGAGATAACACAAGCCCGGGTCCAGGTATAGAAAACACCTCCATTCTTGGGGTCTCTCTCCCATGGGAATAAAGCCTCAACTTTTTCCATACACCCCAGGTCTCCTCCATTTGCAGGATTAGGACCTGGTACCTGAGCCCCACACAATCCCCAGCTGGGGATATCTCCAGTGTTTACTAGCCATGGAAGTCAAGGGTTCCTACCTCCTCTTCCTCAGAGGACGAGGCTCCATAATCATCCACCATCTCCTCATCGCTCCCGTCATCTCCCATGCTCTCCCAGGCATCCGCACCCCCCTCTCCCTCACTGCCACTGGACTCCAAATGCTCCTCTTCATAATCCTCAGCAGGCTGTGATCGCTTGGCAGGAGTCAGTGGGAGTGAGCTGCTGTCACTGCCGCCAAGCTGAGGGTATCCAGAGGCTCTTGCCCCTGGCCTCCTTAGTTTTCCTCCCTCCTGTGGGGATGGCTGCTCTGCAGCTACAGGTGGAAGAAAAGGTTAATGATTCACAACCCTCAAAACCACCTCGTCCTGTCCCATGCAAAAGGAGATGGCTGGAAATTATGCACCCTAACTTCTAGCTTCCTGTAGCTAACACTGGTTACATGTTGTTGCCTTCTCCCTTTTTCTAAGAGGAGAAAGCCTTTTTGTAACATACAGCATGGTGAGAGTTTTAGTAGTGAAGGCTGGTCACAGAAGCATGTTTTACACTTGCAATGGAAAACGGTGCAGCTTACAGTAGTTAAAGAAAGACAGGCGGCACTGGATTGAGACTCTGCAGATCTGGGTTCAATTCCTCACACCATCATACACTGTGTCTGGGAACCTGTCTCATTGCCAAGATGAGCGGTGTCAGTATTTACGTTCTTCTCATCTGCCTGGCTTGCAATGTCGGAGTCAGGGAGCGCCTTTCACACTTTGTGATGCGTTAAACATAACAAGCTTGTGATTTTGCTTAGGTCTTTTAGGTAGGTTTAAGCTGCACCTAGTGTTCCTGCCAGCCCAGTGTCAAGTAACAATAGCCGTGTGTATACTGCTGCAGCACTAGTAGAGACTCAGACCCACATTCCAGTATGTACCCAGGAGGGCGGGCAGGCAGACTCTTGGGGGGCTAACCTGAGCCACTGCCTGTGCTGCAATGTTTGTACCGTTATTATTGACAAGCAAGACTAACTCTAGCCTGTCTTCCTGGGCTGGGAGGTTCACTTGCAGCTGCAGGATAGATACAGGCATTCCCATAAATACAATCTTCTTATTCTCATTATTAAGTGGTTCTCAGAGTCTGTGAAAATCTCTCTTCACTTTTGAACTAGGCCCTCCAAAATTTCCAGATCCTTCAGTGATCTTTTAAGTATCCCGAGCCCAGGTTATTGTGCATCCTGAGGTCCAGGATGGCGACCGCTGCATTGGAAGCTGTATACTATGGAGAATCAGGATAGAAAGCAGAAAAGAGTCTGATACTGTCCCAGTGGCCAGGATTACTGAAGAGACGCAATTTTAAACATTTAGGTTTTACAAATTTAATTTGAGCCAAGTCCCTTCTTAGTCCTGTGCAACGCATGCGTTGGAAGCCCTAGCTAGGATGCCCACAGTACGCTGGATGTCAGGTGAGGGCAGCAGAAAGAGAGGTCCATTCTTTGACAGGACACAAGCTATGCCAGACTCCTACTCTGCTCACAGCTGGGGATGAAAGTGAGGAGAATGGTATTAAAACACTCCGAGAAGAATTAGAGCAAAAAGCGTAGACCAACCAGAACTCTTCCACTAGGGAAATAATGAGCAGTCAACTTGTTAAACACACACCCAGGCTGGTGCCATCCATCTCCCCCTCATCTGTTGCCTTTTTTAGCTGAAGCAGATTCCTCCTTGCTTGGGCTTTTCCTGATCCCATTCGCCTCTTTGCAGCCCTGAAAACACATGGAAAAAACGAACACAAGAATAAATGAACTGATAAACCCTTTTACACCAGAAAGCCTAACAACTCCCTCTGACTTGGACCTGCCAGATTGCAACTAGTGTCCTGAATTTTATCCTCTTTAGAGCAGAATTCACTGGTGTACTTGTACACTCACCTTTTTCGTGCATGGCTGGATAATTTTTTTCCACTGCTATCAGTAGCTAGAAACAAAGATGACACAAAATCAAGGAACTGGTACCAGAAGGACAAAGAACAGGATGAGGTCCCTATTTAGGAGCCCATCCAGGTGTGATTGTATATGTAGGTGGGGGGTAGAGAGAGAAGTGCAGAAAATGGTAAAGAAACAAACACACTTACTTGGGGGAAGAAATTTGGCTAATTCTACCTCTGCTCCCTTCTGTTTGCGGGCTTTGCGCCCCGGGCCACGTTTCTCCTTCCTCAGTACATCAAGTTTGCGCCCCATGTTCACCCTGTGGGGTAAGTAATGGAAGAAGAATGAGGAAAACAAACAGAACAGACCTTCCTCCCACACACATTGCAAACTAGGGGGTGATTCCTTTAGGCAGGGGTAGGGTTAGGCCTGGGAGCTAGATCTGGCCCCCAGCTTGCCTTGATTCAGCTCCTGAGGCTCAAAGGTCCCTGCCAGCACTGGGGAGCTGGCATCTGTGCTCCAGCCCTGTGGCTGCCCAGTGGTCTCCCCATGGGGCTGGAGTGCCAGCATCGGCTTCTCCTGTGTGGAGGGAGCGCTTAGCCTCACGGGTTGCAGTCAGACAAGCCAGGGCTGGATTTGAACCACAGACTCTATCTGATGGGCAGGGGAGGGGAAGGAGGAAGTGGCAGCGCAGCAAGGCACTGACTGAAGGCTTCTTCCCCACCAGGCTGATTGGCCGTAACTGTGGCCAATAGGAACAGCAGGGAGCGGGCACATCCCTATGTGCATCCCCAGGGAGCTGCAGTAAGTAAGCGAACCCATCGCCAAGCCCTTCCAACCCTATTTCGCTCTTGCACCCTACCTCCTTCCCAGAACCCCACCCCATCTTCTGCCCAGACCTCATACTCCTCTCTGCTCCTGCACCTCACTTTCTCACCCAGCCCATTCTTACACCCTACCACCTTCCCAGACACATCAATCCCCAGCCCACTCCTACACCATCCCTCCTGTCTAAACAGCATATCCCAAGCCTGCTTCCCACACATTGAACCCATTTTTGGCCCCACCCCAGAGCCTGGGAAGTCCTCAAAATCTACTAGCCCCAGAATGTGGAGAGTGTCTTTCTGCTTTTCAGTTGGGGGCCATGTCAATGAGGTGGTTTTTTCCCCTTGTTTCTCACTTTTGTGCAGCCTCTGACAGATGTCTCTGTGGTTCAGTGGTCTCTAACCCAAAGGGTTCCCCACTACTGCTTTAGGGCAGCAATTCTTCAGCCTGCCTGCCTCTGTGTCTAACACAATGGTTGTCAACCAGGGCTATGTTTCTCCCTGGGGGATACTTCAATTCATCTAGGTATTTGCCTAGTTTTACAACAGGCTACATAAAATCACTAGTGAAGTCAGTATAAATTAAGAATCCAGTTATTTATTTATACTTCTTTATGGACTGTACACAGACATACAAGTATCAATGTTACATTCCCATTTTAACGCTAGATGATACAATGACAAATAGGGATGTGAAGGACTAGTTGACTATCCAATAAGCAAATGCTTATTTTGGATAGTTGACTAGTCACTTCCCCCATCCCACCCCTTGCTGCTTCTATCAGATAGAGGTAGGAAGGGGAAGAAGAGGGGTACTTCAAAGCAGCAGTACCACTTGTAGCCTGGGGCCAGACCCAGGGGTCCACACAGCGCTGCTGCTTTGAAACGCTGCATGTAGCCCATGGCCAGCTGGGATGTCCCGAATCTGCAGGTGGCATTTTCAAAGTGGGGAAGTTCCCAGTTGACCCCGTGTTCCCCATGGGGCTTTTGCCTCTGCGGGTAGCAGCAGCCCCACACTTCAAAGGCCAAGGCGCCCTATCGACTAATCAAATGGTCGGTGCAAAAGGGACGGGCTATTAGCCTCGCCAGTTCTCACCATTTAACACCCT